ACGTGGGTGCTTACCAACTCAAACCCGATCATTGACAGCCCCTCTGGATGTAGCTCCGTTGTCCTTCATAGGAAGGATGGGACGCTGGTTGCTGCAGTAGCTCCGTCCGTCTAGGAAGCATGTGGGGCAACAAAACGGTGGAAAACGGAAGCGAAGAAACAACTAAAGAGACGAAAGGAGGAAGAAAGGAAGAGGGGAATCACCTGGAGCGCCCAGAGGAGGAAGGAGAGGCGGGCGGTGATGTTGTCGCGGTGAGAGTGCCTCCCATCCACCAATGTGCACTGCTCCAACTGCCGCTGCAGCTGCACGTGCTGCTGCTGCTGCTGCTGCTGCTGCTGCTGCACACTTTGTTGCTGTTGCTGCCGCCCCTCCTGCCCATGCTTCTGCTCCTCCTTCTGCTGCGGCTCATCGCAATCCATCGTGGGCAGCAATCTCTCCTCCTCCGCCGCTGTATCCCCACTGCTGCACTCCTGCCTCACCCCTTTCTCCACCACCACGCCATGCATGGGACTGCCTCCACTGTTGGGCAAGACGCTGGCTTCTGGGACTGGTAGTGGGCTGTTGCTGCTGTTGGGTGGAATGGGGCTGCCTGGAAAAGGTTTCCTTGGAGCAGCGACGGGCTGTGGTTGGTGGGGGGGGGCAGAGCGTGCAGAGGCGAACAGGGAGCGAGCCAGACCCTTGTAGGTCTGCAGACTACCCAGTACCTGCAAGGGGGAGGGGGGAGTGGGAAGGGAAGTGGAGGAAAAGGAAGAGGAGAGGAGGGGAAAGGAAGAGAGGGCAAGGGAAGAGTTTGAGGGATTGAAGAGCGTATAGAGGCAAGCAGGTTCTCAGACTGTGTGGGGTTCAGGTCTCAACCAAAACGGACGATGTGTGCTTCCTGTGCTCCCTATGCTAGCGTGCCACTCATGAGATGAGTGACACAAGCAGAGCTTGGAGTCATAACGCACTGGCTTTCTATGAAACTGAAAGTACAACCTGCTCATGCAACCCATTCCACGTCACACATGCCTACAGTACAGTGTACTGTACTTCATTTCTTACAATTTACTTCATGCACTGTAGTGTTCTGTATAATAACGGTATGACGAACTGCATGCACGGATGCTTACAGTGTACTCCAGCTCATGGTTTGCATTCAGCGACTGCAGCTGAGCCTGCAGCATCTGCTGTTCCTGCAACACACGAGACGAGCAATGAAGGAACACGGAATAAGGAAGGAATGAGGTGAGGACATGAAAGAACTAGAGGCATGCAGTAGTGAGGCAGGGAGGGATTCACATGACTAGCAATAGCAACTTTAACGTGCACATAACAAGACGGAAACAAATTGCACACATGCACAGGAACACACATGCACCTTGGCAGATGGAGCGTGGTTGGGTGGGATGCAAAGAGATGATTTTCCGAATAATTGGAAGGGCAAACGGAGGAGTGCCAGGGGGTGAGAGCAGCACCTCGGCGGGTGGAGCGGGGTTGGGGTGCAGAGAGATGATCTCTCGCAGCAGGAGGAAGGGGAAATGCAGGAGTGCAAGGGGGTTGGAGAATCACCTCAGCAGGTGGAGCGGGGTTGGGGTGCAGAGAGATGATCTCCCGCAGCAGCTGGAGGGCTGGAATGACACTCTCCTCCCGAGAGATGGCCTGCAGGCAGCGCTGCATGTACTCCTGAGAGGGGAGAAGGGGGTGGAAGGAGGGGCGGGGGGAGGAGGGGGAGGGGGAGGGGGGGAGGGGAAGGACGATTATTTTTTAAATTCTCAGAAATATCTCACGGGGGGAAGGGGAAAGAAGACGGTGGAACACTCTCCTCCCATAAGATGGCCTGAACATTCAAGCACATTCACTGACGCACATTCATAAGATGACCTGAGAAGAGCAGAAAAAGGGGGAGGAGGGGGTTGGTTGGAGAAACGGGTCAAATACTGAGACAAACTAACAAATTAACAAAAAAAAGAAACATGCAAAAAAGGAACAAAAATTCATCACTGAAAGAGTCTCACCTCTTTATTAGCACATCCAACAGAGGCGTAGTGGCCCAACACCTCCGTGAGGGCCTTCGATTCAAGCACATTCACTGACGCAACATCGGCTGCTGCTGCCAGTGCTGCTGCCGACGCTGATGTTGATGCTGATGACGCTGATGCTGACCCAGTTGAGACTGCATGCGTGTGGGGCGGGTCGAACACGAGCGTCCAGAGAAGTTGCAGCAGCCTGCAGGGAGGGAACAAGAGGGGGCGTTTGTGACAGAGGAAAGGGATGACGCCATTGCTGATGCTGATGCTGCTGCAGCCGATGATGCTGCTGATGCTGCTAACGCTGACCCTGATGAGACTGCATGCGTGTGGGGTGGGTCAAACACGAGTGTCCAGAGCAGCTGCGGCAGCCTGCAAGTACGCACAGATAGTAGGATTTATCACTCTGACAAACATCATCCAAAGGCTCTCCTGTGGAGAGTGAAAGTGCTAGACCTTGCTGCACATAACACAAATTACACAGCAAACACCTGAAAACCATAAAAATGACTGGAAGGCAAGAATTCACCAGGAATCCACCATAGCTGACTTGAAAACGAGACTTCACCTGGAGGCCATGACTCCACGGGTGTCGGACCGTGCAAGCTTCTTGACCAGCTGCATCAGCTTTGCTATGTCGGCCGCTGAGCGACCCTGGTGGGGCAGGGAGGGAGGAGCGTACAAGTGGGGCTTAGATCAAGTCAGAATGTTGAACATGCATATGAGGACTCCTCACATTCTGCTGTCTTCACCAGCTGCACCAGCTAGGCTATGTCTGCCACTGAGCGACCCTGGTGGGGCGGGGAGGGAGGACGGAGAGGCAAGGAGAGAAGTCGGATCAACTCAGAGAGGAAAGGAGAGAAGTCGGATCAACTCAGAGAGGAAAGGAGAGAACTCGGATCAACTCAGAGAGGAAAGGAGAGAAGTCGGATCAACTCAGAGAGGAAAGGAGAGAACTCGGATCAACTCAGAGAGGAAAGGAGAGAACTCGGATCAACTCAGAGAGGAAAGGAGAGAACTCGGATCAACTCAGAGAGGAAAGGAGAGAAGTCGGATCAACTCAGAGAGGAAAGGAGAGAACTCGGATAAACTCAGAGAGGAAAGGAGAGAACTCGGATCAACTCAGAAGGTGCAATTCTCTGCAAGTAGCTGTCAAGCGAATCTGAAACGGGGGGGATTGAGGGGACATATCAAAGTTCTGGCTTGTTGCTTCACACATGTGAGTGAGCAGAGCAACACACTCATGGATTCGTCTGGCGCAAATGCATGTTCCTACATGAAGAATGCATGTTCCTACATGAAGAATGCATGTTCCTACATGAAGAATGCATGTTCCTACATGAAGAATGCATGTTCCTACATGAAGAATGCATGTTCCTACATGAAGAATGCATGTTCCTACATGAAGAATGCATGTTCCTACATGAAGAATGCATGTTCCTAGATGAAGAATGCATGTTCCTACATGAAGAATGCATGTTCCTACATGAAGAATGCATGTTCCTACATGAAGAATGCATGTTCCTACATGAAGAATGCATGTTCCTACATGAAGAATGCATGTTCCTACATGAAGAATGCATACCATGCCGTGCCATGCCGTGCCATGCCGTGCCATGCCATGCCATGCCGTGCCATGCCATGCCATGCCATGCCGTGCCAAGCCACCATGGGAGACTAACAGAGTGGCCATCGAAAATGGATGAAGAATGCGGGAGCAGGGGGAATCACCTGAATGTGCTGCAGGCGGGAGAAGGGGGAATCACCTGAATGTGCTGCAGGCGGGAGAAGGGGGAATCACCTGAATGTGCTGCAGGCGGGAGAAGGGGGAATCACCTGAATGTGCTGCAGGCGGGAAAAGGGGGAATCACCTGAATGTGCTGCAGGCGGGAGAAGGGGGAATCACCTGAATGTGCTGCAGGCGGGAAAAGGGGGAATCACCTGAATGTGCTGCAGGCGGGAGAAGGGGGAATCACCTGAATGTGCTGCAGGCGGGAGAAGGGGGAATCACCTGAATGTGCTGCAGGCGGGAGAAGGGGGAATCACCTGAATGTGCTGCAGGCGGGAAAAGGGGGAATCACCTGAATGTGCTGCAGCCGGGAGAAGGGGGAATCACCTGAATGTGCTGCAGGCGGGAAAAGGGGGAATCACCTGAATGTGCTGCAGGCGGGAGAAGGGGGAATCACCTGAATGTGCTGCAGGCGGGAGAAGGGGGAATCACCTGAATGTGCTGCAGGCGGGAGAAGGGGGAATCACCTGAATGTGCTGCAGGCGGGAAAAGGGGGAATCACCTGAATGTGCTGCAGGCGGGAAAAGGGGGAATCACCTGAATGTGCTGCAGGCGGGAAAAGGGGGAATCACCTGAATGTGCTGCAGGCGGGAAAAGGGGGAATCACCTGAATGTGCTGCAGGCGGGAAAAGGGGGAATCACCTGAATGTGCTGCAGGCGGGAAAAGGGGGAATCACCTGAATGTGCTGCAGGCGGGAGAAGGGGGAATCACCTGAATGTGCTGCAGGCGGGAAAAGGGGGAATCACCTGAATGTGCTGCAGGCGGGAAAAGGGGGAATCACCTGAATGTGCTGCAGGCGGGAAAAGGGGGAATCACCTGAATGTGCTGCAGGCGGGAGAAGGGGGAATCACCTGAATGTGCTGCAGGCGGGAGAAGGGGGAATCACCTGAATGTGCTGCAGGCGGGAGAAGGGGGAATCACCTGAATGTGCTGCAGGCGGGAGAAGAGAGAGTCGAGCTGCTTGTCTGAGAAAGACCAGGCAAGTTCCGCCAGCAGGTCGAATATGTTGTTCTTCACCTGCGCAGGGGGCAACGTGGATGGATAAATAGAGGGCGAGATGCGGCGGAATGTGTTTTAGCATGCCTCACTCACTGTCTGCAACTGCAGGTGTCCCACTCACCACATAAAAAACACACCTCACTCCTTAAAACCGTGCCCTCACCACTTCGAACTGGTTGGAACCGCTTCCCACTAGTTGGGCTTCTCAGCGACGGCCCACACGGCGTCCAGGTGCTTCCCCAACAGGTGCTTCCCCAGCAGCCGGCGCTGGTTGAGGAGGTGCCTCAAGAAGCGCAAGCCTCCATGCCTGCGAACGTCTCACAAACCACACTGAAACCACATCTCACCGCTTCAAACCCGCGCATTACCGCTTTACACCGTGCCTCACCGCTTCGAACTGGTCAGGCTTCTCAGTGGCGGCCCACACGGCGTCCAGGTGCTTCTCCCGCAGGCGCCGTTGGTTGAGCAGCGCTCTCATGATCTTCACCACCTGTTGCGAATGGGGTGTTGATGTTGTCGGGAGGGGAAGAGGAAGGGAAAGGAGGAAGAGAATACGGCAGGGCTTTCTAGTGGCAGTTCACGCAGCAGCCAGGTGCTTCCCCAGCAGGTGGCGCTGGTTGAGCAGCGCTTTCATGGTGCACACACCACCTGTATGTGGTGCAGAACAAGGGGGAAGCAAAATCAACCAGATTGGCAGGGTATTCCGGAATTTTCTCAGAAAAACCTGGTGTCTACGACCATCAGTCTGTGCGGCTGAGCAATCGGTGTTGGGAGGAAGTCTGTGACATGCCGTACAAGATATTGCTCAAGTGGGCGCACAAGAGGCCGCACCTGGTCCACGTATTGCTTGAGTAGGCACAGACGCACCTGGTGCAAATATTGCTTAAGTGGGTGCACTGTGCGCACAAGAGGCCGCACCTGGTCCACGTATTGCTTGAGTAGGCACAGACGCACCTGGTGCAAATATTGCTTAAGTGGGTGCACTGTGCGCACAAGAGGCCGCACCTGGTCCACGTATTGCTTGTGGTGTAGGTTGGAGCGCAGGACAAGTGGCAGAATTTTAAAGGCCTCCAGCCAATTGATAATTGCCATCATGGCTGATCCTCCCTTGCCCCTGACACAGGATGAAACAGGATGGAAAAGATGAAACAGGATGGAAGAGATGAAACAGGATGGAAAAGATGAAACAGGATGGAAGAGATGAAACAGGATACGACGCGAGGCACATCACGGGTACAAGGGCAACGTCACAGCTGGTCCCTTGCCAAGGACAATAAATCTTTCTGAACTTTGTTCCCCATGTGTCCTTCACTTTGTTCCCCATGTGTCCTTCACTTTGTTCCCCATGTGTCCTTCACTTTGTTCCCCATGTGTCCTTCACTTTGTTCTCCATGTGTGTCCTTCACTTTGTTCAAATGTGGAGATGCCGGCAAATGTGGCGACGGTCACGTGTCTGACTGATCCATATCTACTCGCGGCGCTAAGCTTGCCGGTATTGCGCTGGAATGGTTTCACAACCACCCACTAATCAACCCCTCTCTTCAGCTCCAAACCACCATCATGCCACCATCTCACTGACCTCATCTCATCTCCAGCGCAGCTGCGCTTTCCAGCCTGCGGTTGGTTGATCTCCCTGACGGCTGATAACTGCTTGCTGAACCATGGCACTCCCAGCATTCGCTGCACCATGCTTGCTTCCCCTGACACCCACCAACACACCAACAGTCTCACCTCATCTCCAGTGCTGCCGAGCTCTCCAGCATGCGGTTGATCTCCCTGACGGCTGATAACTGCTTGCTGAACGATGGCACTCCCAGCATGCGCTGCACCATGCTTGCTTCCCCTGACACCCACCAACCCACCAACAGTCTCACCTCACACCCACCAACACACCAACAGTCTCACCTCATCTCCAGTGCTGCCAAGCTCTCCAGCATGCGGCTGATCTCTCTGGCAACTGCTTGCTGAACGACGGCAATCCCAGCACACAACCACCCACTAGTCAAGCAGCTCACCTCGTTTCCATCTGACCTCATTTCCCCTTGACCTCATTTCCCCTCATCTCCAGAAAACCACCCACTCACGTCATCTCCAGTGCTGCCGAGCTCTCCAGCATGCGGTTGGTTGATCTCCCTTGCAGCCGACAGCTGCTTGCTGAAAGATGGCACTCGCAGTCCCAGCATGTGCTGCACCATGCTCTCCCATGCTGCCCCATACACACACCCATCAACAGGCAACCACCCACTCACTTCGCCTTCAGAGCAGCTGCGGTTTCCAGCATGCGGTTGATCTCCCTGGCAGCCGACAGCTGCTTGCTGAAGGAAGGCACTCCCAGCATGCGCTTCACCATGTGCCTCTGCACCGCCCTCACTACGGTCGCTGCTGACACCTCCACATCATTATAATAATCAAACTCATCATCCTCCTCATCGTCCTCCTCCTCCTCCTCCTTCTCGTCCTCGTCGTCCTCCAATCCTTCATATTCCACATTTGTCATCTCAACGTCATGGATAATGTCGCGCACGCTGTCAGCAGAGGACGGCAGGGCGAGCAGCGCGCGCACGTGGCGCAGAGTGAGCGAGAGGCACTGGAAGGAGCCGTCCCGGGGGCCCTCGTTGAGAGAATCCATCTGGTCGCTGCTGATGCACCGCGTTATGGCCACCAGCACGGCCCTGCATGGCTGGTGGGTTGGGGGGGGAGGCACAGAGGGTGAAGGGACATACGTTGTGAAGCAAGGAAATATCCATCAAGCGTGTGAGTGAAGCAAAGCGCAACAAGCCCCACCCGCAGCAGAACGGAGCCGGCGTGTGGAGTGAGGAACTCAGCCCTCGTTACCAGGGAGTGAAGCAAACTTGCAAGTCAACATGAGAAGGCAGACGAGATGAACGCACAACGTGAAAGCAACATATCATCAGATCACGCACAAAGCTTGCTACAGCCACAAGCTAGGCTAGACGACAGGCACAAGCTAGGCTAGACGACAGGCATAAGCTAGGCTAGACGACAGGCACGGAATGAGCCGCGATCCCCACCCACCACCAGCAGCAGCAGCTTGCTGGGATGGGGATGGACTGCTGAGTCGACTCAAAGGCACCCACCCGCAGCAGCACGCTGCCAACGTGTGTTTTGAGTCGACTCAAAACACTCAAAGGCACCTACCACCAGCAGCATGCTGCCAACGTGTGGGGTGAGGAACTCGGCTACCGTTGCCAGGGAGGGGGCGCAGCCGACTTTTGCATCGGCTCAAAAAGAGAGAGGAAATGCAGGCACAGTGGCGCAACATAGCATCGATCAAGAAAAGAGCTTGCGGTTACAAGCTAGGCTACGCTACGGATTGCGCCAAGACCCACCAGCAGCAGCACGTTGCCAACGTGCAAAAAGTAGACAGAGGGGAACTCCCACCCACCAGCAGCAGCACGTTGCCAACGTGTGGCGTGAGGAACTCAGCTGCTGTTACCAGGGGGCGCAGCAGCGCCTACCACTACCAGAGGCATACGCGGGAGGGGCAAGCGAGGGAGCGATGGGGAAGGAGGGGAGGGACTTTTGAGTGGACTCAAAGGCACCTACCAGCAGCAGCATGTTGCCGACGTGAGGAGTGAGGAACTCAGCTGCTGTTGCCAGGGGTCGCAGCAGCGCCTCTACAGCCACCAGAGGCATGCCCAAGAGGGGCAGGCAGGAGAGAGATGCGGATGGGACCGGGCTTTTGAGTCACTCAGAAAGCACCTACCTGCAGCAGCATGTTGCCGACGAGTGGGGTAAGGAACTCAGCTGCTGTCGCCAGGGGGCGCAGCAGCGCCTCTACCACCACCAGAGGCATGCGCGGGACGGGCAGGCGGGGAAGGGATGGTGACGGCGATGGGGGTGGTGACTCTGCCTTCCTTCCCGCGGAATTCCCCCTGCCTTCCCGCTCCAGCTCTTGTTTCTGTTCCTGCTCTCGTCTGAGTGCTTCTAGCCTGGCAGCATGGGCATCGCACTGCCGTTCAAACCCTGCCATGAGCCTCAGCAGCACCTGCACCACGCGTTCATACCCATTCCCATACGCTGTCTGCCCAAAGTAATTCAAAAACCACACCAGCCACTGGTGTGAGCCTACGCCTCCGCCCTCCCCCCCTTCCCCCCTTCCCTCCGCGCCACTCCTCCCCCCAGCCGCCTGGGTTCCGGGGAGGGAAGGGCCGATAGGGGCGGGGTCTAGAGGCAGGGAGATGGCATAGAAGCACGGGCGGTCCAATCGCGGCGCAACACGTGGCAGCTGCTCGTTCTTGTGTTTGCAGTGGAACTGACACGTGCTGTCCCATCCCTGCGCCATGGCTGTTAGAAGCCCAGCTATCTCCTCTTCTACCTCCACACTCCGCCTCTCTGCCTCCTCAACCTCCTCCTTCCTCTCCCTCACTCTCTCCCCGTGCCCCTCCCCCTCCCCTCGACCCACCGCCCCTTCTCCAGCCGCAGCAGCCGCTGCATCCGCCAGAGCCTCCCTCGCTATAATCAACTCAGGCAGCTTCAGTACAATCACATCCATAAGGGAAAGAAACGCCTCAAATATATTCCCGTGCACGTCCCTGCCCCATTTCCAGATCGCCCTATCATCCAGGCACTTGTCAAACAGGCTGGGCGCGGCCTCTCTGAAGAGCGTCGCCAGCTTGCGCTTCAGCACAGCGCGCCTCATCAGCCGCTGCGCCTCTTCTCGCACCGCGGGACTCACTATGGAACCTGACTCGTCCGGGTCTGCTACGACAGCGTGCAGTATGCGAGCAGAGGCAGCGAGGCAGGAGCGCATGTGGTTAGGCCAGACCGTCCAAGGCCACTTGCCCAACCCGTCCATGATCGTCCCCAGCAGCGACCCTGGGAACTCCAGATCCGCTACAGTCATCTCCGGCGCTACAGCCGCCCCCCGCGCTACAGCTCGGGTGGATCCTGCGGCTCTCGCAGGCCGACGCGGCAGCCGCGGCCCCATGCGGCGATCTTCGTCCACGTCATCGTCGTCATCCGCCACGTCATCGTCATCCTCGTCGTCGTCAGATGGGGTCGTGACTCGCGCGCGTTCCAAGGGCGCGGGGGACATCTCGGGGAGCGGAAGAACCACGGGGGGAGGCCCGGGAGGGGAATCGGGCCACTGAAAAGGCTCAAAACCCTCCTCAGGAGGCCCGTCCGCATCGTCGTCCCCCTCCTCCCCTTCCTCCTCCCCCTCCTCCCCCTCCTCCGCCTCCGCCTCGTCCCCTAGTTCCTCTTCCTCTTCGCGCACGTCTGAATCTTCTTCCGCCTCTGCTACAGCCTCCGCCGCCGCTCTCCGCGCGTTATTTCCGCGCTGCGCCTCCTCCGCGCCTCTGCTGCCGTCGCTCGACCCCTCACTTCCATCCGACGGGCTCCACCCGCGTTCCTCGTCGCGCGTGTCGTCCGCTCCTTCCAAATCCGATCCCGATTTCGCTTCTGACGAGCGGCGTGCTGCGGGCCGGCTGTCCATGGCGAATTAAAAAGCCTTTAACACCTGTTCGCGAGCCTATGAGCAAGAATTTAAACCGGATCTCCCATTATCGAAACTAAGCGGAAAATAAGCTTTGATCAAAGCTCCTCTTACGTAGGTGACCCACCTCAGATGTGTGAAACTAGGCAGTAAATGACTGGGTGCCATGGATTCAGCCGCCAACGCATGCTGCAGAAAAGCGCCTAGATATTATCCCATGCTTCGCATCTTCCTTATCAACGGGTCTTGATTCTCGCGCAAAACCGAGATACAGTCCTTACAAATTAATGTAATTCATACAATCTGTATTACATTCTTCAACATAGAATTTACTTGGATAGTTCAATTCACCACCATTGGTGTTGTAGTATGCACATTCGTGATGCTACGCAATCCTTGTTCAATCATTGACAACAAAGAATATACGGTATGTTGTGCAGCACTACAGTATGCAGACCATAAACCAGTAAGTGAACCTGGAAAACAACAAAAGAATCGCAAGATTATTCACATGAGTAAGAAACCGGCACTGAAGCGAGTGTTGGTGATTATTGAGACGTTATTGTATTGACATGTGCACACACATACGCAACCATCCCTAAAGCGCAGGAACGTAACACAGAATGTCGCCACACAAACCCCACTGAATACTTGGTTGCGGCAAGGCAGATCAGCGTCTCAGAGCGGCTTGTGAGAGGTGTTGAATCAGCGAGCAGTATTATTTCAGATATAAAGCACCTTCAGTGCACTGATGCCTGCAGAGCAGCAAAGGCGTCTTCACAGCAGTGCATGAGGAAGGCTGGATCCGGCACGTTCTCCCTGATGGCTGAGAGGACTATGTGTGCCGCCCCGTTGTACGTCTGGAAATGCAGCGTGAGCGCCTGAAAAAGAGGGAGGGGGGAGAGGGAGATAGAAGGTAGGGGGGGGGATTGTGGGATGCAGTGCGGTAAAGGCTGGATCCGGCAGGTTACCTGACACACTATGTGTGCTGCACCATTGTACTTCTGGAAATGCAGCATGAGTGCCTGAGTGGGGAGGGGAGAGGGGAGGAGTGGGGAAGTAGGGGGAAAGAGTGATTGCTGGGAACAGTGCTATGTGTGCCGCCCCATGGCACATCACTCTGACATGCACCCATGGCACATCACTCTCACATCCGCACATGCCACATCACTCTCACATGCACCCATCATATATCACTCACACATGCACCCATCACACATGACTCACATACACCCAGCACCCACGACTCACATACACACATGACACATGACTCACATACACCCAGCACCCACGACTCACATACACACATGACACATGACTCACATACACCCAGCACCCACGACTCACATACACACATGACACATGACTCACATACACCCATGACACATCACACATGCAGCTGACCCACAACGGTGGGGCTGATGCGGTCGATGGCATAACCCCCCCAAGGCTGACCCCCTTCACAAGGCTGACCCCCTTCACAAGGCTGACCCCCTTCACAAGGCTGACCCCCTTCACAATCCCCAACAGCACCTCACGTGCAGTCATCGCACCCATCACGCATGACTCACGTGTGGCTGTCCCAGGACGGTGGGGCTGATACGCTCAATGGCATGTCCTCCCAGGCTCACTTCCTCCACGGGCCCCATCATGTTGGAGAAGGAGAGGGTTGTCTGGTCCAGCAGGCGTCCCATCAGTGTGCACGCTGACTGGAAGGGTTTACCGGAGGTTTAGGAAAAAATAGAGAGGGTTTATAGGGATTTAGAAGGTTGATGCACTCGATGGCATGCCCCCCCAGGCTGACCTCCTCCACGGGTTCCATCATGTTGGAAAACGAGATGGTCGTCTGATCTAACAGGCGCCCCATCAGGGTGCATGCGGCCTGCGGGAGTTGAGAGAGGTTTAGAGGGGTGGAAATAAGGTATGTGCTGAGGGGACAAGCCTCCTCCATGGGACCCACCCATCATGTTGGAGAAGGAGTTGTGCCACAAGCATCCCAACCTGAGCTGGCGCAGGCCGTGCATCAGTGCCCTTGCTGCCTAAGATTGCAAAAAAGCCGAACCGAGCGTAGTACAAGAATTTTTTGCAATCTTAGGGGTACAAGAAAAAAAAAAGGGTGCGAGCGAGCAGCAGTCTCTACATTGACACTGAAATGAGCCCCAAGTGGCTTTTGGGTTGATTCAAAAGTCACCTCAGCAAGACACAGCTTCCCAACATGCCAGCAGTAGCAAGGACAAGCCTTGCATTGAAATAACTGTAATGAACCTCGAGGGATTGCTGTATGGATGGACACATGCTCGCCACCATGCGCAGCCTTTTGAGGCGCCCCAAAGGTCACCTCAGTGACACAGCTCACTCACCTTCATGCCGGCTGTTGCGAGCACCAGCCTCGCATTGACATAGTTGTAATGAGCCTCCAGAGACTGCCGCTTGGACGCACACATGCTCGTCACCATGCTCAGCCGCCGCTGCTCCACCTCCCCTGCTGCAACCCCTTCCTTGCTCTGCACCATTCCTTCCGCCTCCCCTGCTGCCTGCTCGCTCTTAGGGTTTCCATTCACGCCTTGTGTGCCGTTGCTGCCATTGCCGCCGCTGTTGCCGTTTCTGGCCTGCAGGCCTTTGGTGAGTGCGGCCGAGTGCACGGGCAGGGGCAGCAGGAAGGTTCCAAGGCAGTTGCCCCAGCGTGCCTTGGATCGACCAGCAAGCATGGAGGATATCTCCTGGGAAGGAGCAAAGGAGAGGGGAGGGGAAAGGGGGGATGGGAGGGAAGGTTGGAGAAGAGAAAGGAAGTGGTGAAAGAAAGAACGTGGTTAAGGTGGCGTTGGGGTTATGTGGGATGAAGGGGAAGGAGGTCAGTCACACGAGCTGACCGATAGGAGGTCAGTGCTGCTATGTAGTGCACTTGCAAGTGCGGTGCAGCACGGTGCAGTGATAAACGAACGTGTGTAGGTGTATTGTTGCCTTGACTGCTTTCCACTAGAAGCTGGCAGTCCTACGGGCAAGCTGGCTCCTGACCAGCTTATCATGTAACTGCCAATAAACGTCAACCAAATGCCAGGTGCACCTGGAGAAGGTTTATCTGGAGAAGGTTTATCTGGAGAAGGTTTATCTGGAGAAGGTTTACCTGAAGCCCAGGCGCTGGGCGGATGTTGACAACACAGACGGCACTCAGGCGAACAGTGGCGGGTAGCGGGGAGGTGGTAACTGGGGCAGGCTCTCCTGGAAACGAGGGAGGGGGGTAGAAGTGAGGAGAGCGAACAGGAGAAGGATTAGAGCAGGAAGGGATGGTGGCAGGGAGAAAAGGATAGGTTTGTGAGGGAAGGGGACAAGGAAGAGGGAGGGAAGGGGACAAGGAAGAGGGAGGGAAGGGAACAAGGAAGAGGGAGGGAAGGGAACAAGGAAGAGGGAGGGAAGAGGAAAAGGAAGAGGGTAGGGAATTGAGGGGGCTGGCAGCTGTAGAAGGTGTTGGGCAGTTCTCCTGGAGATTAAGAGGGGATGGCATGGCAGAGAAGGGGAAGGAATAGGAGAAGGAGAAGGAAGAGAATGAAAAGGATGGGAAAGAGGGGATGGGAAGGGGATGGCTGGGAGGGGAAGCAGGTAGGTAGGTGATGAAGAGGCTGGTTGAGTTGAGAGATGTGGGTGGTGGTTCAGAGGGGTAGAGGGGGATTTTGAGATGGTAGGGGTGAATTTAATACACTGATGCATCCAGTATGCCTGTTCCAATAGCCTGCTGATGGTGGCCAGTCAAGTAGCTCTGATGGGATGCGACTAGCTTACCTGCTCTCTGTGCATGCTGGTCATGGTGGTGGCGCAGGTAGCGATCAAGCCCCCCTGAGATGACGGTTACCATCACATCGTTGATGGTCTAAATGGGGTGTGCAAGGGGATGTGCAAGGGGATGTGCAAGGGGATGTGCAAGGGCATGTGGAAGGGGATTTCGAATGGCACCACTGATTGTAAAACAGGGCTGTACTACACATGCTGGGTGATCATAAATTGCACTTGAGTTGCTGCTGAGAGTTCACAAAAGAAAACATAGTCGCACGCACCTCGCCGCACCAAAGGCGTGTCTGACCCGTGAAATGTCATTCAGGTTCATCGGCCCACTCACTCCAAACACAAAGCCCGTCCCCACTATCTACGAATAAACCTCAGTTGACGTCTGAGATTCCTAAAAAGAACACCCAGCCCCACAGGACTCACCGCACCAAAGGCGCGTCTGACCCGTGAAATGTCCGTCAGGCTCAGCGGCCCACTCACTCCAAACACAAACCTCCCCCCTCCATCTCCGCTCCCGCCCTTTCCCCCAACTTCTCCTCCCCCAGTCTGCACCTCCGCGCTCCCCTCGTGCGGCTGCTGCAGCACGGCACCGCTCCCCATTCTTCCTTTCCCCGCCTTCTTCTGCGCACCACTATTCCCAGGCTTCATCTTGACGCACGTGGCAGTATCAGCGCGCCACAGCAGCACAGCCATGAACGTTGACACGTGCCACAGCGTGTTTCCCAGCACAGCTATCAACTGCCACAGCCACCTCCCCACACCCACCAACCCTCCCCCTCCGCCTCGCTTCCTTGCCTCCCCCGCCCCTTTTCTCAAGGCACCACCACCACCCGCTCCCGCACTCTCATTCCCACCCGCATTTGCTGTAACCCCTTCAGCGGGTGCTGATGCTTCTGCTGCTGCCTGCCCAACTGGGTCTGGGTTGAACGGCGATTCAGTCATGGAGTCAAGCGTAAACGCTGATGCAGCAGACGGCATGTGCACCTGCCCGCCGGGCTTTAACTGCTCCTCCTCCTCAGGACCACCCGCCTCACCCAGCTGTTTTCGAAGCTCCTCACTCTCCTCCACCACCGCCGATGCAGCGCCACTGCTGGGCTGGGGGTGAGTCTGGCGTTTGGCGCTTGGGAGGGTGGGCAGGAGCGCGGGGTTGTCGGTGCGGCGAGTGCAGGCCAGCAGGAGAGACATGAGCGACACGCCGTCGCCCATGGAGTGGTGGATGCTGCGAACGGGCAGGGGCGAGGGCGGGAGGGAAAGGGGGGCGAGCGGAAGAATGGTGGGTGGGGGGAGAGGGAGTTAACAGGCATACGCACCTCATAAGCCGTCTCTTTTAGATACACAAACTATCTGTGAGAGGGCTAACAGGCATCGCCACCGAAAGAGTGCAGCAGAGCGGCCGCGCTTGGCAGAGACACGAGGTGCAAGCGCCAGAGGGTATGTTGGAGGAGTGTCAAAATAAGTCCTTCTCAACGCCATTGTGAGTGAGCTACAGGGCATCGCACCGGAAGAGAGCAGCGGAGCGGCCATGGGGCAGAGGCACGAGATGCACGCGCCAGAGAGGGCGGGAGGCGTCAAATGGCGGGTGGTGCTGCAGGCGCCGCATGTGCCACTCCATGCTCCCCGCCTCGTAGCACGCCGATTCCCGACTCGCGCTTCTTGCTTTTGCCTCCACTGGCTTTGCACCTCCCTCCGCAGATTCTTCCTCTCTTGAAGCTTCTTCTGATTCCGCCGGTCTTTGCGTGCCCTCTGCTGTTCCCGCGCTACTGCCGCGTTCATCCTCGGTTTGTGCGCCGGAGCGCTCCGCGCTGTTCGCGTTATTGTCACATTCGTCAGGCTGTGTGCCTTCCACGACGTGGTAGGCCATGTCGACGGTCGTCCGCACCCACACCTGCTCGCCGCCCTTGCAGCCGCCACGGCTCTCCTGCGACACGATGATCAGGTTAGAAAATCACAGTAGCGCGCGGAGAAATGACTTGGTGAAAAGTGAAGAATTGCAAGGCGAAAAATGGCATCGCGCGTTTCCCGATTGGAACGGGACGCGCGAATCGACGGGTCGAGCTCTATTTGTGTAACGGTTTGAAATGGGACGAACTGATGGATAGGCTGAGCAGAGTGCAACTTTCCATTTCAAAAAGCGGGATGAATGGGTCCCCCCCAACCATGACGACGTGGCATTAAAACGAGCGAAATTGGGTCATAACGCGACTGTAGAGAATGGGAGCGCGTGGTTTCGGGACGAAAAAACGCTACAGCTTTTTTCCACTCCGCTCCTGGGATGTAAGTGTCGTTCGTTCGTCTACCAAGATCCCAGTTTTAAACGGAACCTTTTACCATGCGACTGTGAAAGCGAGGATGCTTCAGAAGGGTATCCGAGAGAATCGTTCTGAGCTCGCCGATCTCCATGCGGTCATTAAACTCCAACGCGCACATGATAGTCGTGTAGAACTCGTCGGAAAGAAAGAAACGAGCGGTTGGTGACAGCGGCTCGGCATCGCGGCTCGGTTCTTTCAGTTGCAATGATGCGTCTGATGCGTCGCCCTCAAGCTTGACCTTCACTGGTGGAAGCTTCGGGTTATCCATTTGCGAAATGCAGGAAAACAAATGAAGGAACTTGGCCGAGAGAGGTCAAACGGTCAGAATTTCGTGGACACTACCAGTAGCTATGAACCGATGTTCACAATGTGAACTGCTGAGAGCTGGGGGGATGATAGAGAGTCTGACTGATGCTTCGTGTAGGAGAATCAGGAATCAGGATGTGGTTCTGTCCAACTAATTTACCGCCAAATCGTGCCATGCGGTTGCTATTACCCAAAGACTGGTGAGGTGATACCATAAGTGGTGAGCTTGAAAACAAGCTCGAGCCGAGAATCGATATGTGTGGTTGGTTGCTGATGAAATCAGGGAGAGTGAAAAGGGGGAGTGATAAGGCGGCAGAGAGTCGTGTAGAAACCTGACGCCGTTCCGTCCGAGCCTGTACCTCATTTGGCTTGGTCTGTATTCGACGGCGCAGACTTTCGACGAGTTCAAACAAGGAACGGTTTCGATGGCCTTAAACCTTCCAGTGCATGCAGCTTTCACGCTATGGTTCGTGCACCCGAAAGTTGGCCAGTGGGAGAGGCTCGGGCAGAAAGAACCAAGCCGTAGCTGGAGGTAAGAAACGAGGTCTGACACAGCCTGGAAATTGTGTGAGAAGAGCAGGACACAAGGAAGTCAAGGTGTATGTGCTCGAGCGATTATCTGTTATCTGTTACAAGAGCAATTTACTGAACGCACGAAGATTTCACTATATAAGAAAAACAGTACATTGAGTGAAGGGCTGCGTTCTGTTGGCGCATTAGTTATGCGCGCACGATGCACAAGTTGTGCGCTCGGGGGCTTCCGCGTAGGAGAGCAAACCCCCAAAATTACCACGAATGTATGACCCAGGCGCGACGTATCTGCGAAGCAGGCTCCAGGGAATTTACGCGGGGGCAGGCACAAATTTTGTTAGAAGCATCAGCATCCATGAGCAGCAGTGACCCAAACATTTTGGGCACGCAACTCAAATTGGCAGCTGCATCCAACGGTCAAGCATCTCTAAGTCAAACCCGCGGGTGCAGAAGTTCGCCTAAATCGTATTTAACCGGGCGTTCTTGGCTGCCCCGCACAGCTTGTGCGCCCCTTTAACGCTGGGAGATGAGCGGATGGGACTCGGACAGGCTACGCACAAGGTTTGCCCGTGAGAGCAAGGTCCTGGAATGTTCCGAGCGCACTGTCAATGCGGCGTTTTTGTGCACGCATAAGCAATGCGCGCACAACTTCCGCACCAAAGGTTCGGGTCACACTAACGATTCCCTCCAGCTCCAAGCCTTGTCACGCGCGTTCCTGGTATATTCGCCATTAGAGTTTCGCACAAGCTATGCGCCAACAGAACGCAGCCAAGGTCTTACTGGAGCAATGGATCGAGGAAACGAGGATTGCACTAAGGTGTCAAACGAGTACAAAATGTGAGCGAAGGCATGAGCGAACATTTATACGCGAAACATGCAAACGGTAACGCGGTGCGTGCGAGCTAGCTAGTGCTACGCTGGCAGCGAGGTTCGGGCTAGTCCCGAAGCGTAGGCCGACTCGGTCGGGCTAGAAGTGCGAGGTTTGGTAAAACAGTGCGCGCGAAGTTGGCGAAGCCCCGTTAGCAGTAACGGGCGAACAACGGGTGCGGCTGTACGATGTTGACGGTCGCAGTAAGGAATGACGGTCAGACGAACCGGCGCACGTAGTTGACGAACCCCAAAAAACTTTGCAACTCAGTCAAATTTGTCGGCGTGTGCCAAGCCTGAATTGTTGCAAGCTTCTTCATGTCTATTTCCACGCCGTCAGCTGAAATAATGTGACCCCAAAACTCTATTCTATCCTGTAAAAACTCACACTTTGAGGCTTTCGTTAGTAGGCGGTTCTCACTCAGTATTTTAAAAACTACTTCCATGTCCTGTAGGTGCTGTGCTCAGTCGGGGCTGTAAATCAGTATGTCATCTAAGTAGACGATGACGTGTCAGAGGTCCACTGGTGATCCCCGATTGATCCTAGGGAAGGGTTACAGGCATGGCGGCCTGGGGGGTTATGGGCGCACTCACCCGCTACACAAACAAGCCCTTTTATCCCAGTGGTTAGTGGCTGGGATTCTGACATGACGCACTTACCATATCGCCCCGGATATAACCGCAGGCCTATTAAAAGCGCATGCGCTTATATCTGGAGCAATGCGCTTATGGCCGATCCTCAATTAGAAACGCAACCCCTATAAATACTTTACTCAATATAAGCGCATGCGTAATTTCATTTTCCATGCCTGCTCAAGTACCGTAACGATTTCCCGGTTTGCAGCCAGTACAGTCGATGCTCACCTTATCACAAAAAAAATGCTTATCGCAATTAGAAATTTACTCGCAATTGCATGTTTTACCGGGTGATGTCACAAGGGGTACAGTCACTCAAATTTTTTGTGGCATGTGGTTTTTGTCAGGCAGATATGCAGGGCGCTTCGGCCTTGGCACACAAGACAAGCACTACAGCAAATGCTGCAAGCTTCTTACCGATTTAGAGCGAAGTCTTCGCTGACTTCGCTCTTGGTGTTCGTCTCCTCACACAGGGACCCGAAATGCAGCGGGAAGCCACTGATGGCTTGCATGGTAACTGGGAACATGCACAAACAACAACGGACGCTGGTCCACAGTACCTGGGAAAAGTTAAACATGTTATAGCCATGCAACCCTACAATCACCTTATGCCAGTGGCGACTTGCGCGAACACCAAGCGAAATAACTCGCTGGTTTCAAGAACAGTCCGCCCAGCTTTCAAGCGTGACAGTAACGCGCTTCGATTGTATACCCGACAACCCTCACGAGAAGCGGCCGACAAAATCGCCCGTTCTGTTCTGCCTCGCGAAAAAACGAAACGGCGCGAAGCTGAAGCTGACTGGCAGCACGAACGTCGGGGGGGGGGGGGGGGGAGGGGGCTCGACCGTCCTCCTGCGCTGCGAGCGACCGGGTTCAGTGCCTCGCAACGGTGGGCCGGTGACACATTACACGAAGGAATGACGTATCCTCGCCCACCCTTGCGCTGGCAGACAATGATTCTGATCTATGACGCGCTAATATTTCGACCGACTGGAGTTGCAAGACTAAGATGCACATTTTGGTGTGCTTAAATCATATTCCTACTGTCAAACATTGCATGTTTATATTGTCTAGGCTGTAGTGGGTTACACCTTAGGGGGTACACAAAGTTAGGGTTTCCTACTTGTACCAAACTCTGTTCTAGTTCATTCATTCCTGCTCAGTTATTTCTGACATGGTTTCAGAGCAGGTCCTTCGCTAGGACTGTTCTTAGGGCCCACCGACTTACCTACCTGCTTACCTTCGCTTGTTTCCGGCCCCGCTGGCCCCGTCGATCTAGCACGATCTAGCGGCCCTGCGGCCCCGTCGAAATTTTTTTTTTTTTTTTTTTTCCTAGCGGCCTCTCACGGCCCCCGTCGCGTCGCCCCTTAGCGCCCCGATCGGCCCCGTCACGCCGCCCGCGAACCGCACAGCGCGCCGCGCTCACAGCCCGCGAACCGCCCGCGCACAGCCCGCGACCAGCCCGCGCAGCCCGCGCACAGCCCGCGAACTGCCCGCGAGCAGCCCGCGACCTGCCCGCGAACCCCCGCGAGCCGCCCGCGACCCGCTTACGCAGCCCGCGAGCAGCCCGCACAGCCCGCGCTGAGCCTGCGCGGCTCGTGCGCTGACCGCCGCCGGCCCGCACGCTGCCCGCACTGCTCCCGGCCCGCCGCTGCTGAGCCCGCAGCCGCCCGCGCACCGCCGCTGCTGAACCCGCCGCCGCCCGCGCACCGCCGCTGCTGAGCCCGCCGCCGCCCGCGCACCGCCGCTGCTGCGCCCGCTGCCGCCTGCGTATCACCGCTGCTGAGCCCGCCCCTGCTGCGCCGGCTCTCGCTGCCGCCTGCTGCGCCTGTGCACCACTGCAGATCCTACTACTACACTTCCTGCTACTGCTGCTTGTGCGCCACTACAGTCCGTAGGCCCCACCGGCCCTGCTGACCCTGCGCACGCCTGTTCAGTGACTTTACTGCTTCTACTACTACCGCTGTCGCTATGGCTAGTCCTCCTGTTCTAGCTTTCGACGCCGAGGGCCGTCCGGTCAAATTCGAAACCTGGCTAGATGACCTGCACCTTTTCCTACAGCTCACTGCCAAGGAAGATATTACACTGTACGACCACGCTCTCGGCCATGCGACCGCCCCACTCGCTACTGCCCCCCCAGCTGAGCGCTCACAGTGGCAGACCCGTGACGCGCACGCTCGCTTTGCTATTCGCAACTCCCTGCCGCTAGATGAGCGCGAGCACTTCGGCCAGTGCAAGACTGCTAAGGACCTCTACACAGCTGTAGTGGCCCGCTACTCCTCACCCGCTTCTGCCACACTAGGCCGCCTCACTCTCCCCTACCTGTTCCCCGACCTAGCCTCTTTTCACACTGTCGCAGACCTCATCACCCACCTTAAGACTAGTGAGGCTCGCTTTCGCGCTGCCATGCCTGATGAGTTCCTCGCTAGCAACCCCCCCCCGCTCTGGATCACTCTCTACCACGTTGTCACCCGCCTCCCTGACTCTCTGCGCCCTGTCAGGGACCAGTTCCTCTCTCGCTCCCCCACTGAGCTCACCATAGCCCTCCTCGAGAAGGAACTGCTTGCAGCCGAGGCTAGTATCGTCGCTGTAGGCACCTCTCGTGGCGACCCCCGCGGCCCCTTCTTCGAGGGGTGCTCCCCTTCCCCCCTCCTCCCCTCTGTCGCCTCTGCTGCTGCTGTCGACCTCCTTGGTGCTGAGAAGGTCGGGGCTGCGTCTGCTTCAGGCGGACGACGCAGGGGCAGGAGTGGCAGGAGTGGGGGTGGTGGCGGAGGAGGCGGGGGTGGAGGTGGTGGCGGTGGAGGTGCGACTGGAGAGGCTAGTGGCGGCGGTGGTGGAGGTGACAGCGGTGTTGGGAGTGGTGACAGGGGCGGAGGTGGCAGCGGAGGCGGAGGTGGTCGTGGCAGCGGCAGGGGTGGAGGTGGCCGGGGCGGAGGCGGAGGGGTTGGTGGTCGTGGAGGCCCGGCGGGCGGTCAGAGTCAGCAGCCTGCCCCGACCCTTCAGGCCGCCCGTGAGTGGTATGCGCGGCGCAGCGTCACCTGCCAGTACGTTATTCGTACAGGTGACCGCACTGGCCAGACGTGTGGGGGGCCGCACCAGACGGAGCGCTGCTTCGCCCGCCTCAACGATGCGTGGCGCACTC